CCGGGATTGGGGAAACGAATATCGACACTTTCCTTGGTGGTGCAGCCGTTGACATTGGCGACGAACATGGGAGGGAAGTTAGGAGAGCGCTTCTCAACGGACTTCTCCTTGGGAACTTCGTCACGCTTGGAAGAACTGCCGGTGACGGTAAGAGGGGCACAGTTCATGTACATCTCACGGTTTCCGATACGGTTGAACCAAGTCCAGGCGAGGGTGTATTTGCCAGGCTCAATGCCTTCAGGGATAGAGTAAGTGAATTTGGAAGCTCCCGTCGAGGTGGGGCCACCAGAAAGGTTACCATCCACGTTGGCGGGACATCCACCTTCGATCGACTTGATGACCATCCACTTGGAGTCCTTCGTGGGCTCACGGTCGGTGGTCAAGCTGACCTGGCAAGATCCGCCGCCGTGAACAGCACTGCCAATGAAAGTGAGAGGCATCGATTGGCCGATGGCGGCAGTGTTCTCTTCGGAGACCTCGTAAGTGTTGGACCTCATCTTGCAGGGAAAATCACTGCCATCTGCCGCAAGCGGAGAGTTGTTGAGAGTGTCCTTGCCGTAAGGAACGGGCTGCGACATCATCATGTGGCCCTCAACGGCAGCGGCGCCGAGCAGAGCAGCGGTAAGGAAAGCCTTGTTGAACATTTTGATTTTGAAGGAACGTCGGTGCTATAGATTCGACTGTTTGACAGCTGAAAGAATGACTGGAGATTCTGATCGTACCGGACGAATCAGAACCGTGGGACAAGACCTTGGATGTAGTCGTGCGAAAGAGTCTGGAAGGTGATCAAGTTAGATGAGATCGCAAAGCACGGAGATGACGAGCTGTTATATAGAGCTGATCCTTCACGAGTTGACCAACACAAGATAGAGTAACACGGTGAAGTTCCATAAACTCAAAATAGTCTCGAATAAGGGATATAGGAAACACTATAGCACGAATTGGCCATACCTTTTGAGTAGAAGCAGGGCCGAGTAACAATGCCTGCTTTGTTCAAGACTGGAGAAAACAATGACTTTCTTGATCGAGAGACGACTGTCCGTATAATGAAGATGAGCGAGGGCGCTACTTTTGTCACACGTAGTACAATGGCGTTTGTCCGAAAAAAGGAATGTCTGGTAACTGCCACAGGCAAGAGACCAAGAATCAAGAAAAGGAATGAAGAAAGCAAACAGGAACTAGCCTGTAGAACTGTCGAACAGATGAACTGTAAAAGGATTGAATCGCACCAGCGTGATAAGAGAAAGAGAGAAAAGAGACAAAAGCCGGTAGTGTAGGGAGGGGGAATATATAGTTTTTAGACACTTCGACCAAGCATCGTCACCAGTGGTCGTGCGAATTGCCGTGGAGGGTTTAGGAGAGGTGGGGTGACAAGCGTTGAATCACAAACTCTGAACATGCCAAACGCGAGCCTCTGTTGAAGGGTTCTGAACAAATGTGAAACATTTAGTGAGTGGGACCCTTCATTGATCCATCACTGCTGAAAGATGCAACAGAGTTCACCAGAAGGGGAAAAAAAAAAAAAAAAAAAAAGGTTGATCATTGCGCCTGAGTGGCTTGCTGGGGCTGCAACGCCCTGCAGCCACTGAGGGTCCGTGGATGCAGCCCTTTCGGGATACTCGTAGTAAGTACTAGTAGTACGTAGTAGTGAGATACCTTAGTTAGTAGTAGTAGGAATAGTAGAAGTATCTGTATTGTAAGTATGTAACTATGGAGGAGAGGGAGAAAATGTAACCCATAGTATTTTTCATGAGATTGACCATACATAGGCTACGGTGAGTTACTTACGACGACGACGTATAATTCAGTGCCGTGAACTGCCAGTCATGAGGGATCAAGCAAGGCGCCCAGCCATGAAATTCCTTCTAGTCCTGCATTAGTGTTGACGGCAGTATCCAACAGGAAATTAGCCCCTGGACCCGGGGAGGGGCTTTGGTGTCACACCATCCGCCCGAGTGCTCGGTTCCTGACCAGCTACCGCCTAAGATTGGAGACTCAGTTGGCGCCTTGGATGGCAATATGGGGCCGCCCTCAGCGGATCTGCCGCCAATCAATAGGCATTGCCACAATCTATGGGGAGGCTTAACAAAACTAATCCAAATTTCATAGCGGGTGGAAATCACAGCCGATGTATTATCGATCCCCTCAGAATAAAATTGCTGAGTTACATCGTTGCCGGACAACCTCATCTCATTCCCTAATAATATTACTAACAATGCTCCCAGAACAATCTACTTGTACATACTATCAGATGGTCGAACGAGATTTAATTTCCTTTTCTTTCCTTTCCTTTCATCTTCGTGTTGGAATGAACTCATAACTGAACCAATACCCTAGTGGCGTGGCAGTGGGAACAATAGTACAATACACATACGTGGATGTCCTCATTGCCCACCACGCCACATTACGTTGAAGTACAGAACACGGGATCTCACGCTGTAATCCGACTCTGTTGATCATCGACCCGACCGACGGAAAAAAAAAAAAAAAAAAAAAGAACCCCCCAAAAAACCAAAAAAAAACCTCTCTTTAGACAAAGAGTGAAAGACACGGAGTTGACCGCTAAACGTGGGGCAAACGGAATAAGACCTGATGTCTGATAGACGCCGAACGTTAACCAGTCAAGGACGCTGAATCGTTCTGACTCGTAGACTATGATACGAGAATGTCTCCATTTTCACACTTCAAGTACGTCTGCGGTACTCCGTATGTATAAAATCTGGTTGTTAATGATGGCCGGGAATGGGGTCCCCGTCGGACTCCATCCATACTGCAGGCTACGCCGTCCAAACAGAAAAACAGGCTGTAAGTTAAAATTCTCCGCTGCTATTTTTTCCCCTTCTTTCTTTGTTATGTGTTCTCATTGCGCCGTTTAGCGCTCTACGCACATGCATGTGGCAAAAATGTTGGGTTATACTTAGGAACCAGGCAAGGACCTGCAGAGGCAACAGAGACATGAGCTGCATGTACAAACATAGTACCGTTGTCTCAAATAGGCAGAATCTCCGCCTTAGTCAGTTGACTTCAAAATAGGAATTCAATCGATGCGGTTGGGACTCAAGGAGGTTCGAAGTTTAAACGAACACTATTGTTCTTAGTATCTTTGGACGCAATATCCAGCCTCCTCTTCTCTCCTAAGGTTCGGTTCCCGTTTTCCATGGTTCAGGGTCCAGATCTCCAGTTCCGTACCATTACAACGCCGAGTTTGGGACATTACGTCTTGTGGAGTAACATCAATCAATTTCTTAAGTATCAGACTTTGGATATACTCATCGTTGGTGCCAAATTGATATGTAATATGTTATGTATAATGGTCCCTGATATATTAGATTCCAGGGTATAAATTTCCCTGTTCTTGGTCCCGTACCCACTTCCTTAATGTCGCTTAGAAGTTCCTTTACGGAGGGGAAAGACCAAATGAGATCTTCCCGTTGATACGTGTTTCAGATAGATTTGTGGCCTCGGGTAGCAGTATGATTTGCCGAATGTTCGTTTATAACTCTCCAATAAGGTATTTCGATATTAAGGTAGTATTGGGTTTTATTTTCATTCGCGATCGGTATTTGTTCTCTTCTTTTCTTTTCGCTCTCCTTCTCCCAAGTCATCCGGTCTAGTCCGACGATTCTCACCATGAGATTGTACCTAGTACGACCTCGCCTATAGACTCAAACAATCTAATTAGATTAATGTCTTGTGGACCGAAAGCTGTCAATTTTTACAACTCAAAGTACTACACTAACTCGATCTTATCTCTGGCGCATGTACATACCAACTTGGTTTAGACTGTAGTAGAAACCCCCCATTCACACGGGGCCACCATCTTTCAGGCAACACACCAAAGTAACTTAACCGAAGAGGGACTACTGCAGCTTCCCCGGCCATTCAATTGGTTCTGCAGCCGCCGTGCGACCAAGTTCCAACCCAACACCTCTTACATTTGCCTCCACCACATGGAGTTCATGAGGAACAACCATCAAGGAGCCGGGCGGCTACAGTAGTCACCGCTACCAATAGTACAGAAACACATCCAACTTGCATACCAAGCTTTGATTGCAGAAATTAGCTCAAGGATCATCCGAATTACCCAACGATGGGCCGATGCCTCCATCCATTATGTAAACCAGATAAAACATATCGCGATCTGAAACGGATATCTCATATCGGACCCTCCAACCGAGTGTTCTCCTGCCCTGACCGGGCTCTCGCCGAGACAGTTCTAGTAATAGGAACCCTGGAAGGTTGCACTTGGCTTTGACCTTCTAGAATGTAGCGGTGGACCAGTTAATTTCGTTCCTGGATCTATTACATTAGCTTTTCCTTACCCACTACTCTGTCTTATGTCGTATTGGACTATTCGACGTCATGCTATGTGTGTGTGTGTGTCACTATATTGTTTCGAAGTGTGGAGTAGGGGTGTTATTTTTTGGATTTGACGTGCTGGATAATGAGTTGAACGTTTGAGAAATCGAGACAGTGAGGGCTTGATCATTTTATCATTGACTATTATCTTCGCACCGTGGAAGAAAGCTTTTGTATAGCAGGTTATTGATAATGGATGAAGTCCTTTGGTCGTTGTTCAGTTACAGCCTTTCGGGTATCTTTGTTCTATGGTACGATCTATTGGACTGGGGCTCAGGATCCGAGTCACCATCCCCTCTCCAGGCAACACCTTCTCTTGCTGTTGAGTTTAATCTGATGCGAAATTGATGTATCCACCTTCATCTCCCGGAAGGTTCTCGATCCTCTCTTATTGGTAATGAGAAGATCCTTCCAGTACTTGAGGGACAATGGTTGAGCACCTACCTCTTGGGGAACGTAGCATACGGTGGCCCAAGCATATCGACTGACGGGTCCGATACTACCTCACAAACGCCAAGGTCATCGAGATGAGCCTCTGAGGGGAATCGGGAGATGCGACGAGTAGGTTCACGCCATGGAACGGATCAGCCGGCAGTCGACGAGCAAGCTCATTCGACCATGGCCCACTCCAAACCCTGAGCTCATTTCTTTCCTTTCTTCTTCCCCTTCTCGTTACCTGCAGGGGTCGACTCCTTGACGAACCCACCCTTCATCAGCGCATCGCGACCGACAGCATTGATAATGCGAAACCGATCGGGGCCCAGTAAGACTCCGCCATACCATCGTGTGACCACCACGACCACATCCCATACGTCCATCAGCTGCATGAGATGAAGTAATCGGCCCCCGGCAGCTGTCTCCCCATCATCATCGCAATCCTGTACAATCATCTCCGCAGACTCGCCCTTTGCACTCGATGGTTTTTGTTGCCTAATGCGCCAAGCGCTTATATTATGCGTCGCAGCTGCCACCTTCTTCTCTGTCGCCAGGAGATAATCCAAATAAGCCTGAGCCTGCTCAAGACTAGTGACATGCGCTGCGCGCCCAACAAAGACAGACTTTTTCTCCGTCACCACATCCGACAATATCCAGTCGGGTGGATTGTCCAGTCCAAAAGACTCCTTCAACGACAAGCTGGCAATATCCTCAACCTTGAGGTCCGGCGTGTCCGTCTCTTCCTCCTGTTCTTTGTCATTCGCGTTGCTATTGTTGCTTCCCCCGAGATTCAGCTCCCGGAAAGCCTCCACCGCCTCATTAATCACATCAAACAAGCAAACAGCGCCAGGCTGGTACGTTCTCCCTAGTATATCCTCCAAAACATCGACAGCAACTTTACCCTCCCCGCGCGACGCCGTAGATGCGGTCCCGAGAACCTTGGGCGCTGTGTCGGGGTACGAGGCATCGAACCCAAGTATAAACGATAGATGCGGATGTTCGGGAATTTGTAGCTTCACTGTCGCGACCAACGGACCCGTTGAACTAGAATTGCCCAAATCAAGCGTAGAGTTAGCTGTGGACGACGAAGCCGCAGTGCTGTTGATCGTAACGGTATCGGGCTCGTAAATGGCATTGATCGCTTCTATTTCTTCGGCCAATTCATTGTTGCCGAGGGACTCGAGTTGGGCCGACATTTTTGGACATTGGGTGTGGTGCAGTGTAGACTGCGACTTCAGTTTGTCCAGGAGATTAGTTCCCCGCCGATGTCATCGCTATTTTTTGTACCGTGCATTTAATGCGTGCTAATAATATAGGCTGACTAATGTGGGCTTCGGCATGATGGCCGATTCAATGCCCGTGACGCCATAATTCTCTGGCAAAATAACTTGACCACTTTCTGAACTGCTTTGTGGGATACTGTATCTTTGGCATGACCAGGCTCTGGGTCTCCTGTTTTGCCAAAAGCGATTATTTTTCGAACAAAAAATCTTGTCTAAATAGTTCGTTAAATAAATATACTTCTAGATAAACATTATATTTAGAAAGGTCTTTATGGCGGGACATATCAGTATCGCAGTCTATAGTGTGAAAAGACCCTTTTCACGGTCGGGTTTTATGGGCTGTAGATGGGTCTATAGACCGCCTACTTGATAAGGGAGGCGGTCTGCTAAGAGGTGATCAACTACTGCTGGGCTAGGAGCGCTCTTCCTTCAGTGGTACTAATAAATAAATGGAAAAAGGTAGAAGATCAATTAGACTTAGTCTTTCTATGGGTCATATAGTACTGACTATATGACTTTATAGTCTAGGTAACTTTGTGGTTGTTATATAATTTATATGCTCTTGATAACAAGATATATTCTGGTCAATCTGGGCTCTGATAAGCACATATGTAAAAGACTTTAAAGCAAACTTAATCTTTCTAACATCCACTTCCCAAGAAATTCCCTACGCACTCCATTTCCATGTTCCGAACCACCTGCGACATATCTTCACCGTCTCCCTCGAGACCATCTAAATCTGTCCGCTTCCAGAACGCCCGGAACCCATCCACCAATCTCGCCGTGATGCCCTTCACGTCAGCTTCAGGCATAGCCGCAAAGCATAGTCGGTAATACTGCCAAGAACGATCCAAGGTCTCCTGCGAGGGAGCAAATAATTCTCCAGGGCCTAGAAGACAGAGGTACGGTTTCTGCGTCAAATGTACCCACAATGCCTTGGAAAGCCTGGCTGGATCGTATCTTCCATGCAAGGGATGGGTGTCGAGACGGAGCTTAATCCAGACGAACATACCGCCGGTGGGCCAAGAAAAGTCGTACATCTGTACTTTATCTACGACTTCCCAGCTTTCCTCGCTCGATTCAAGGGCGGCGTCCGTGGCAATAAAGTATCTACCCTCCTCTAGAGTGCTGCACATGTCTTGCATGCGTCGTTCATATCCACCACGCAAACCCTCCAGCCAACGGACCCAGCCATCCATTTGCCAGCTACGATCGCTCTTGCTCGAGTTGGTAGACTTTTTATCTGTCTGTTGACCCAGAATCAGTTTGGCTACCAGGGCTTGAACAAAGCCCGAAGGTGCTTGCGTTGCGGTTTCGGTGACCCGAGCCAACCTCTCGATCACGGCCGGTTGTGCGGTTACCCAGCCCAAGCGACAACCAGGGGCGATGGTCTTGGAGAAAGTGTCAAGACGCACAACACGCCCATCCGTGTCCAAGGACAAATAAGATGGAACCAACGAGTCCAGGAATTCATACCCGGAGGGCTTCCCATGTGCATTGTAATTGCGCTTTACCGAAGCTGTCTCTATGGGCATGCCTCGATGCTGGGCTTCTAAAGCGACCGCCGATGGGTATTGCAAATTCCAGTAAGGCTCGTCCTCGATTATGATGATATCGTATAGGTGACAGAGTGCGTATATTTCTTTTTTACGCTCGACGGATAGGGTGCCGCCCGTGGGATTCTGGCCAATCCTGCATTTAAAAAGAAGCAAAGATGTCAGTTGTGACATGCACCAAAAATAGAACTATACCCATTGGAGAAGACCTCATCACCCGCCAACTTACGTGATGGTGTACATTAAATGTGGGCGACGGCCTCTTCGGAAATCCCAGTTTTTGAGAATATCGGCCAATCCTCCTTTACCGCGTGCCAACATTCCCTGTGCATCGATGACGACCGGTACGACGTTGAGACCTCTGGGCTTGACGGTTGCAACAGCATTCATATAGACAAATTCCTCACAAAGAATGCCCTCGCGCTGACTGGTCCGGTCTCTCTCTGGGTTCCAGACATTCGTGAATACTTCGATTGATTTTGAGAAGCCATCGGTCGCTCCGGTGGTGAGGATGGTTTCGGGGCCTCCAGCATATGGAACGTTGGGATGAAGATGGTGACGAGCGAATTGGCGAACGAATGAGGCCATAGGAGGGAGACCTTCAGCTGTGACATACTGCAAGGCAGTGGCGACGTCGATTCTATTCTGTACATCAGTCGCGTGGCTCTCTTTGGGAACGATCAAACGCATCGATGACTTAGCGTCATCTTGAGATTTCTCGGTTGTGCCATTACTGAAAGGTTGGAAACGCTGGGGTGTGGCGACAGTTGCCTCGAGGGTATCGTATGGGAAGTACGAGGGATTTGGTAAGCCTAATGATAGGTGACGACCGGGGTTAGTGAATGTCACAAAAGTCCAGAGCCGGGTGACTATCGTCCATGCATACCACCAGCCAGGTTCGCAATACCCGGGATGAAGAAGTACTTATATAGGTCTTTGATGCCGCTCCCCTCGCGTCGTTTGGTGGTGGATGCATAATGATGGGATAAGTCGAGAGGAGGAGGCGCCATGTTTGGAACAAAGTACAGTTTAGGTATAGTAGAATCAGGTCCAGAATAGCTTTGCAATTTTGCAATGGCGTGGGCCGTTCTCTTGTCTTGAGCCCTTCTATGCAAATGAACGATTTCCAGAATGGGATTATATCTCTTGTCTACTTTGAACGTAATTGAAAGGGGAGTACACCTTGTTCATGTGAAACCTCTTCCTTATCATGACCAATCGTCCACAGTTATTCCTCTTGTACTTTTCCTATGCTTGATAAGCAGAGTTAATGAACGGTTGGAGATCCACTTTGACTGCAAGACCGTTGGGAATCCTTTGATTTGATTAGTGCGCTTGGCCGTGGACTAGCGATACTGTTCAATGACGGACGTTTCGCCTTATCCGACAAATCCGATGCAATTGCGGGACATCATTGCAAGGATAACGCCAGCCCATGATGATGTCTAACTGTCATCGATTTAGTCTTTTTTCGATAGAACTAGTACGAGTAAACTTGAAATTGACTCGTGTGTCCGGGGAAGTACAGAAGTACCCCCACCCGTGTCGTCTCCCACTGTAACCCCGGTGTATAATAATAGCGCTTATAAGGCCATTTGCATTTGGCCCCCTCTCCACCGATCTTCAACCGTACATTGGTATGAATTTTTCCATCTCATGAAAACCTCCGAATACTCTTCGATGACTGGTCCTCCAATGGCAATGCATTTTCGCCACGGGATCCCCTGACAATCGCTGAAAATCCCCGCAGGTACCTCGCTGACATAAGCACCGGTGATTGGTCCGCGTTGCCACTGAACTGCTGACATGTCGAAGCCAATGAATGACTTTTTTTGCGCCCATGTCCCCGGGGCCCAAATCTGCCGACTTCCTCTGTCTTTTTGCTCTTTACTAGTATTACTACCTGGGCTATCCTTATCCAAATCCAATCATTGCTGTTCTACCCGATATTTGAAGGGCCATGTCTTTCCGCTGGTTGTGAAAGAGAAAGGAAAACAAGCATTCCTCCCCCCTTCCGTCTATTCTTGTTCTCGCGTCCGCAGCAGTTCTAGAACTCTGGCGGTGACGGACCTTGTATCGGTCACTCCACCGTTCGTCCCCCGCTTCCGGCGGTTGCCTATCCGATCTCTTGTTTTGGCTTTTGCTCCTGCATCTTTTGTTCTTCACCTCATATCGCTGGTCCGATAATTGTATAGCCCTCCAAAAGACAACAATACGATGTTTGGTGAAGGTCCCGAGGATGGTTCCCGGGTTTACATCCCTCCGTTGCTGGACTCGGAGCGTTCCGACGATCCCGACGCATCCGACATCCTTCCTCAGGACGAAGAGCACGGCGTCTCTTACATCCCCGTCTGGCTACGGGAGTCTTCCAAGTCCTTCAAATGGGGCTGGGTACCGCTGCCCATCCGGAAAGTCGCTCGCGCTACGGCGAACTGGGTGAAAGGCCCGGATTCTCCGCATGATCTCCTGTTGAAACCACTGTTCCCCCACATCCAGGAACTCCCGGTCCGGTACCTGGAACGTTTCTTCCCAAAACGGAAGCATAAGATCGCCTTGTTGAGCCTCTTCTATCTCGCCTGGTTTTTGCCATGGACTATGATTCTACTCCATTCGCGTTCCGCCGGTTATATCGAGGGCTTCGGCCGCCCGGAAACCCTCACTTGTAGAGCGACACTTTGGTATGTTGTGCTGTGGAGCCTCGTGTGCCTTTTGCTGCCGGTAGATCTAACAAAATGCTTACAGGGATTATGGAAATGAATGCGGACTCAATGGAAACGATTGCCGTCCCTTTACGGCGGCTACAATGCCTTTCCGCTGTCCCGCGAACTGCCGGGATGCTAAGTTGGCGGCACCCCATATGGTAGGCAATCAGACGTACAGCTATAAAGGTCTCGTGGTTGGCGGACCCCAACCCGGATCGGACGATACCCCAGTTTACCGGGCAGACAGCTTTATTTGCCAAGCCGCTATTCATGCGGGTGTTATCACAAATACTATTGGAGGATGCGGCGTTTTGAAGCTAGAAGGCGCGACCCATTCCTTCCCTGCATCGAAGCAGAATGGAATCAGCTCGGTTGGCTTTCCTTCAACGTTTCCCAAGTCATTCAGCTTTGTTTCCTTAGGCTCATCGCAGGAAACCTGCCCCAACGACCCGCGCTGGCCGCTCTTGGGCATTACCATTGGTGCGCTAGCCACGTTGTGGCTCTTATGCCGCTCACCCCCAGTACTTTTCTTCAGTACCTTTTTCATGGTTTTCTGCCAAGTGGGACTGGTGTCCGATCCGCCGACACTTCCTCAGTTTGCCGATCTCGTCTCTAGCTTGCTTGCAAACCTCTTACCAGCTTCGTTCGTAGCCTTCGTTCTGTTTAGGTACTGCGCGCGGCCACTTCTTCGGCCACTATCTGATGCCACCTATCAGTTGACAAAGACATTCCTATACTTGCCTCCCGTGTTCATTGGTGCATTGAACAACTACACCTTTGCACGATTGATTCCCCTCGAACGCCTTACGCCTCACGATATCCAGCGGCAGCCTGGAGCGAAGGTAGCGTTGGCTATGGTTATCCCAACGGTTATATGCATTATTCTCAGTCAGGCCTGGCAGATCCGCCAAGGCGGTTTAATGCCACATTATCTCAAGATCTACTGCACGATGGGCCTTATTCTTTTGATCTTGCTTCCGTTGCCTGGTCTCCGCCTCCGAATTCACCATTACATCCTTGCAATTCTTCTCATGCCTGGCACTGCAATTCCTACGAGGCCTTCGCTGGTTTACCAAGGACTGCTTCTTGGACTTTTCATGAACGGCATTGCTCGATGGGGTTTCGCGTCGATCATCGAGACGCCCGCTGCACTGGGCGAGTTAGCCCCGGGACCTGGCGGAGCTCACGGATGGTGGGGGAGTACCTTCCCCAACGTTACCGATGCAACGGTTAACATCACCCTCCCTGGCTCTGGATCCAACGAAGTATACCACGGGAATGGCAATATAACGTTCACGCTATGGGAGAAGGAACGCATGGCCAATCTTGGTGTGGATGGTATCTCGGTCCTAGTCAACGATGTGGAGCGGTGGCGTGGGTACCTTGATGAGGATAAGCTCGGAGAATTCACCTGGCATCGCCACGGACATACTGGCCTGGAACTCCTGCACCGCCCGACAATTGAGAGCGATCAGACCGATACCGATTCGATAGGCACGGAGGATGAGGACGACAATAGACCTGAAGAACTGTTTTTCCGTTTTGCGTTTTTGAAGGGAGCTGAAGCAGGCAAGTACGGCGGTGCCGGCGTGTGGCTGGAGGACGGGGGTTGGATTTCACCGCCGCCGCCGAAGGACTAGTTTTGATTTCTTGTTTGTTTAACGCCTCTGCGAACTTTAGACGAAAGACTCTAACTACACTATACCCTACTCAACCGGATGATTGGATATGAAGGCGTGCTAGGCATGGATGACGCGGCGTTTCTGTACTTAGACTATTTACCATGAATGATGAATTAGGGCTATTGCACATATTGGGGGACTCGTCACTGTCCACCCCTTGTAAAACAAATCTTCACGAAGAATAGGGAGGTATCCTTCTCCTAATTTCGATCGAAACTAGTTGCGAATCGCGGAATTCCGTATTGGCAGCCTCTTTGGCCATTGTCCCCATCCGACAAGTGTGAATATCAGGTATTGGCTTCCCCTCTTCTTCAGATCAATACCTGTTCGGATCGGAAGACTGTACCTCAGTAGCCCTACTTCAATCTTGTTATGCATATATATGGCATAGCCATATCAATTTCTTTGCTTGTTGTCCACCGGGCATTAAAAGCATAAGGCTTATTGATATCGCCGAACGCTGATTACCAGCTCTAATGGCAGCCCTCCAGGTAGTATGTGCACATCAAGTAGGATACCGAGAGGAATATATCTATACACGACTTCTAATTCTGAATCCGATCAGAGTGGACCAAATATCATGATAGTTCACTGGTGCCGTAGGTATGCACTAGATCTCAAATTCAATAAGTTGGCATTCAAAGACTCGCTGACTGTCATATTGTGAGTGCATGCTTCCGCCAGTTTTTCTCCCACCCAGGTGCCCATATGGCTAACCGGAGAACGCAGACTATCCACTTGCCATCCCACGATCCAAAGGACCGATCTTCTAACTGCTCAGATAACCCAGTGAGAACCCTGGCCCCAGGGATCGACCTTCATGTGAGCTTTGAAAATGTTAGTTTTCCCTTGCTGTCCTTCAGTTGCTTTCCATGTTCTAGATAGGTCTATGATTCGTGAATAAAGTCAACACCGAAGTTCACTTACCTAGCCCTAATTCCCCCCGACATTCTCAGGTATGTATTCCTTGGCCGACCAGTCCTCCACCTATAAATTCTATCGCCTCCTTTTTCCTGTAAGGCTTTCTCCTCCCCAGACACTATTCCCACCTATGCAAAAGATTTTTTTTTTTTTATCTCATTACTCAAGAAGCTTCTATTTTCCCTACAAGTCAGTTCGTCATTGGCAAGGGATAATACTTACACAAGCTTAATTAGCTAGTTCTGTCACACCTGCTCACACCCACACGTGTGGCAATAAATCTCTTCTCCAAAGAGCTTCAAATTAGGGCAAGCACTTTCAATAAGTTGCATAAATGAAAGCAACCAAGTTTCTATGTTTTTTTTTTTTTTTTTTCCTGCATTTGGAAGTCATTTTTACCTTTGACCGTTCTTCCTAGGAAGCAACTGAGGGTTGCATCTGTTAAACCTACTGATGTGACATTCAAGAAGTGAAGGATCACTTTTTATACCTCTTCCTCTTACCTCTACACTACCCCTTGTCTACAAATTCTTCTCTACAATTTTTTTTTTACCCCTTTTCTCTATCTGTTGCCTCTCAGCATGTCTTACAGTTATTTAATCTGTTTAGTTCATGATGATCATCGGATAAAAACGACATTATAGGGATTCAGAGGACGGCTTTCACCAGCACACTCGAGGCACCGGAGCCCGACCCTATCAAAGT